AAAAAAAAAGTTAGTAAAATGTACAACATCATTGTTAGGTGATAACGCAACGATATTCCATAGGAAAGGTTATGTATTTGATACAAAAATCTTTTGTGAGAACTGTAACGATATGAATGAAAGAATAAAACAAATACAGTTAAAAAATACAAAACTAAGAAACAAGTCAATGCTTAATTGGTACTTATATTATGTTATTATTTTAAAACTTATTTGGTTTGTTTCTTTTGGTTGGTATATGATATATGGTCGGAGAAACACAAATAAAAAAATATTAAGGGTAAGGACACCCATTCCCAATTCACCACCCTAATATTATTATACCTCTGCACTCTATTTCCTACACGTTTCTTCAATTACCACAAACAACGCTTATTATACCTAAACAAAATAAAAAACAAAGAAGAATCATGCACACAAAACATCATAGAATTTAAATTAACTAGGTTTGTTGAATGTTCAAACAAGTTCTGTCTTTGGTTGACCCAACAATTACCTAGTAGTTTGGTTTATAATTCAACTTTCTCTAAACAGAGCAAAAATAAAATCATTTTTAATAAATCGAAACAGTTATACAGTCGAGAAAAAATAAGAGAGATATCAAAAAGAGTTATTAAAATGCATAGACTTTGAGAAATCGAGAAAGACAAGGGAGATATCGAAAAATGGTTGATAAAGAAAGACAAGGATCGATCAGGAGTTACATAATCGATAAGTATGCAAAAACAATTATAACTTCACTACGTGACATAAACGATTACAAGTTTTATATGACAATGGAACTGCTCGAGAAATGAAGGAAAACAGTTAATAGGAAAGGAAATCATTTTTATTTTATATTTATTTTTATTTTATTCTCTTAGCGGTTACATAACATAAAGTATAGATAGAATTAAATAAGTGAAATTAAATTGCAGTCAATTTGATAAGGATCGAGTGACATTGCTTCTTCGGTCCGAACCAAGGAATCCCTTAAATATGATTAAAATAGATCTTATTCTATCGTTGCTCAGAGATTTCTCTATAAAAAATATGAATCGGAGTTTGAAGATGGGGGGAGTTCTTGCCAATTTGGGTCACCACTTTTATTGAGTTTTTTTATCAGTTTTTCTTTTATCCTTTGTAATAAGTTAGATTCAATTTTCCAGCAATGTACTCTTCCTACACATTTGATTTCCTTGTATTGTTATTTTCTTCACACATTACTTTTCTCACGCTTTACTTTTAATGTTTGAACTAATATTGAAAATCAAATTAATATGTGAAAGATCCTTGATAGAAGTTAATATCATATTAATTATTGAGTGATCAATATTTATAATCAATAAATAAGTGATTATGGTCAAAGCGTAATTAAAAGAATTCTCTAAATCGAAATATATTTACTTGCTAGTCTAAATAAAAAGAACTCATAGGTGATAAACTGGTTTATCTTGAAAAAAGTGGCATGTCCGAACAGGTAAAATCAAACCAAGTTACATTAGAAATAAATACATAATTTAATCATATAAAATTAGTTCAATAAGATAAGAATCGTAGTTGTATATATACTTTAATATTATCGTATTTATAGTCAATATGAAATCTCATAACATCCATTCACCTTAAAAAGGATTTCCATATTCCAATATCGCTAAAGTTGACTCTGATATCAATTTAAAAATTAAGATGTCTAATTCAATCTTACAAAATTGGCTTAGTAAAATAAAGATTGTATACTTACCTAAATTATAATGTTATTATATTTCTAGTGGAATTTCACCAGATCTCCTCATCTCAAAAGAAATTTTATATCCCAACATTAATAAAGTTTAATCTAATATTATCTTAAAAATTACGAGATACTTCCCTTATTTTTACAAAACTAGTTTAATGAATAAGAATTTTATTTATTTATTTATTATAATTAATATTATTGAATATTTAGTAAATATCACTAATTAAATAATATTTTTCATCAAATTCATCTGATTTCTTAAAATAACTAGCATGAAACTCTAATCGCAAATTACTTTTCTATAAGATAACGTATATTATGTGTTTGATATTCCTAAAAAAATGTATATAACAAAATTGCCCACAATAATGCAACAAATGTTACTATAAATAAGCAGATACTTAGTGGTTGATTGGGAAATCAGTGGTGCACCCTTTGTGTTAGGGATATGTCATTCTCTCTACACTTGACACCACATACAAGTAGCAACTTAAAACTTCAATCATTTATGTAAATAGGGTAGAGATAGTTAAAAGTTAATTTGAGCTGTCACATGCCTTAGATTATATCCTTAAAAAAATAAAAGAAATAACATGAATTGCCATAAATAAAATACTGTCTTATATGCTGTCCCTGTTTTCCTCTTCCCACTTGTCTTTAAATATCAGGGCATTTATTGGCCATATATATATAAAGTATATATTGTTTAAAGAAGGAATGAGTAGATGCTATCCCACAAAACACAAAACATTCACTACTTGAGTGATATATTAACACTTTTTTTGTTCAGCTAATCATTCTTCAACATCAGTTTACATTTATTTAGAAAATAATATAAAAGTTTAGATTAAGGATAACTTTTATATATATCAATTTATCAATGCATTTTAAAAAAATCTATAAGAAAAGTGAGTTTAAACTTAATAAAATATAATATCTCAATAATTAAACTTGATTTTAAAATCGACATATATTTCCTTTCTTAAACCTAAAAATTCTAAGTAATAGGATATATAGAAACTAACCATGTAATTTTGTTAACTTTTGTGGATTTTTTTTACAATGATATTTTAATTAAAATGCTTTTTTGAATATTCTTACATTTTTCAATGTATACGTTTTTAGTATTATCATCAAATGAATTAACAAAAGGAAAAATATTGAAACAACGGATTTGCAAAAACAAAGAATGATTGAGGAAAAAATAACTTAATATAGTAACTGAATATTTTACTAGGGCTGGGACAGTGTTTTTTTTTTTTTTTGCTTATTTTATATGAACATTACAATATTGTAGTGAGGCAAAAGCTTTCAACCATATGACGTTTTTCAGGATGCCCTGGTCGTATTTTTAATTTCATTTTTAAAAAAATTGTGCATGTTGTGGGTCCCTGTAAAAACTAATCAAGCAAGAGAATATAGGATTCTTCTTATCGAAATAAAATTAATAAAAATAAAAAATTTGGGATTTGAGAATAAAATATTAGAGATGGAATTATGAAACTTGTTTTTACCAGGACAAAGGTGAGATCCTAGAATTAGGTTGGTCCTTGCTAGCAGAATTAGAGGAAAATCTGAGAAACATGATTAACTAGTTTGAATAATTTGAACCTTTCCTCATCTTTTGAGTAATTTGTCAAGTTAGAACCTCCAGAAAGCGACAACAACATCATCAACGGCTGCTATCTTTTAAGTGTGGGATAATGCTTCCATGTCGACACAAATCTGGTAATTCAATTGGGATAGTTGAAGTCAACATTTTGAGCATAAACTTATATGAAATTAATTATACAAATATGTAATTAGAAAATTTTAAACCCCCTAGTTGAAAGGTTGAGAAAACCGTGTGAAGTATCGATGTAACTAAATTAGAAAACTAACATAAAGCCTATGGCACATGACAAAGTCCTAACTCCTAACCAGAACACCCTCTATGCCTTTGTGGTTAAAGTCTGCACCCGCTTTTGAAATAATCGAAGTAACTTTACCTTTTGAAAATCAAATTTCCACCTTTAGACATGCTTCAAGAAATTAGAGAGCTTTATTTGTTTATTCCACAGTTCATAGGGTTTAACGCAAGGCACAGTGTATCAATTTGAATTTCTGATATTGGTAGTCAGAAAAAATGGTTCCTCCAATTTAAAATAGTGTACGGTTTTCAAACCTTTTCCCCCACCTTGAATCGTGAAGGTTTTTTCACAATACTTGTTCAGTGTGTGTGTGTGTGTGTGTTGTGTTGAGATGGAAAATGGGCATGCGAGATCTTAAAAGCTGCATGGTCTGGTCTGGCTTGGGGATAAGCACTAAGCAAAACCCTTCAAAAATTGTGAGCAAAGACGTGAAATCTAGAGCTTGTACTTAAAGGGGAACTTCTTTTGGGTAAAAATATCCAAAGTTCAATAGAAGAAGCTGTCAGTTATTGCATATGATGCTGATGAGGGACCCTTGTTAACTATTTATACAATTTTGTGCAGTTCTATGTCTTGTTCTCAAACTACTTTAGGTTTATGAGGGTACTGAATTTCTGACGCAAATATGGTGCTTAAGTAAAATGAAACAAAACCAGCATGCCCAAGTTTTTTGCCTTCCTATGCACACAATAAAACAATGTCCGTGTAGAAGCCATTCTTCACGTTTACCTGCCAATGACCCTACCATACAGTCTCTATGCAGTTCTGCAGAATATAGAATCATAAATGAATTAATTCCCTTTGTGACAAAAATTCGCCAAACCCCTTTTGTTTTCCCACGGACCAAGCCAAAGCAGAGAAATATCGCATTACATTCATCATTCACAAGAAAAAAAAAACACCCTTCGAAATTGAAAGCAGAAACTTTGTAAACTTTTAAGACTGCCATAATCAAATGTTCATTTGGCTTAGCACTGGATTCTATTCAACTTGATTACCATAATATATATTACATGCATAATTACAGAGATAAAACTTTATGTGAAAAGTAAAAGTCTATGAACTAACTAAGAATTTTGTCCACTCTAAAGGTTTCAAAATTGCAGTCCACATCCACATTTACAAACTTAACCTTGCAATTTTGAAGACCTTATGTATCTTTCGTAATTACAGCTGCATCAGCCATGAATGTAAACCATATCTTGCGTACTATTCCAATTGCAACCAATGCTTTCACAAACAGTTACTAAGATTTTGGGCTCTTCATGAATATATTATGACTGCAATTTCGACTGTATTTGTCTGCTTTGATGAAATTGTGACTGCTTGAAACCTGATGAGAGACAGTAATTTAGCATCCTTAGCATTTATTATTACCTTGATTGAGTCAAATCAAACCAAATTTGCTTGAAGACTTTGATGATGAGGTCATGATACTGATCGGAATTGAGAGAAAGGTAGCAAGCGAGTAGATCCTCCAAGTCCTTGGATGCCCTTATGTTGTTCTCCACAATCATCTCCACCATGGACTCCCTGAAATCTTTCTGCGGGTCAAAGGAAGACTTCACCACCGCAAAGCTATCGGAGAGGTTTCTCCGGGAGCCAGAACTAGCCGTCGATGAGACACTTTTCCGCCCCTTCCAGCCGGCGATTTTGGGCGAGTGGACCCTCAACCTCACCCCCGGAGAACTCACAGAGAACCTCCTCACAGAACCATTGTTCCTCTGTTCCTTCATTGCGGACTCGTCTTTCACAATTCTCACCTTCAACGACCCTTGTTTGAGTTCTCTCTTCTTTAACAACTTTGGTGGCTTGGTTATGATCGGAGTAAGCTCAAGTTCTGAGAAGGTGTCATCATAGTCGTTGTTGTTGTGATTGTAGTAGCCATCAAGCTTGTTATCCTTTCTTGCTATGGAGCTTTTGTCGACGTCGATGATGATGTCGTTGGTGGGGTTGCTTTTGTTTGTGTTAAGCCTGCAAGAGGCGCAAGAGGTGGTGGACATGGAAACCATTTCATCGAATGAGGAAGAACATGGGAGAGCACGGTCTGTTCTGAATTCTGGGGACTCTGACTCGGGTGAGGAGTCAAATGGGGATGAGGAAGAGTGTTCTTGTGGTGAATCTGATTTAGTCCACATGGATTCGAGGGTGGTGCGACAGCTACAACCTGAGGAGACAAGTTTTGGGGTTCTTGGGGCTCCTCTTTTGGTTCTCTGTTTCGTTGATTTTCTGGGAGGGGAAAATTTTGGGGTGTTTGAGGGTGAGGTTTTGAGGTCTCTTGTGATGTAGTAGGACTTTCTGGGGTTGTTGTTGTTGTTGTTGTTGTTGTATTGGTGGTGGGGTTGGGTTGGTTTTGATGAATGTGTGGTTGAAGTGGGTGAAGGTTGCTTCTTCTTCCCGGAGGGTGTGGTGTTTTGCTTTCTTCCTCTCCCCATGTCCCTCAGCTTGTAAAACCAAGCATTTGGAATCATATCTGATAACCTAAACCTGTGATTCCCCATTCTTCTCGCACTCTATGTGTGTGTGAGGGTGTGTTTTGCGTGTGTGTTTGTGAAGGTGCTGAATTCTAGTTCTCTTTAGTGTGGGGATGAGACGTTAGATAACTCTACCAGTGTCTGTTTTGGCACTCTTTGTTTGTAGGATAATAAATAGAGAGAGTGGTTTGGAATTGGAGGTGAGGGGGTTGGGGCCACAGGAAAGGAAAAAGTTGGCATAAAGGCAAAAAGAGTGGGGTAGAGCAAGTGAATGACATTGTGGAATTGTGACACCAATTAGGGCCTAAACAAACACAATTTGTGCTGTTAAAATAACCACATTGATTACTGTTTTCTTTGCCTTAGGTTTGGTCTTTTAACAAAACACCCTTCCACGTAGGTAATTTGCTTGCAGAAATTTTATGCCTTCTGGGTTTTTGGCACAGCTTCTTCCTCCACGTGGATTACATGCTGACATACATAATGTTTCACACCGAAACTAAAGCGAGTCCCCATTGAACGTGGGCATCATGGGAAAAGGATTTCGGACATGCATGGGAGCACACACTTAGAACAGGACCAACAATAAAACTAACAAGACCAAGTGGGCACTTGAGAGGGTAAAGGAAAAGCAGTTGCATAAGTTGTAATTGTAAGCTAAAGCAAGAAAACAAATGAAGATGCAAAAAGGAACTACATAGATTAGAAAGTGGAATTGGTGATATCGTGAGTGATGCCTATCGGCTCATTGGTTTAGTGGTATATGCAAAAGAACTTCAATCTTGGTTAACATTTTGTTCTGCCAAGAAAGGGAGAGGCCTTGAAAAGAATTCGAAAGGAAGAAGCTTTTGAGAGTGGAAAAAGCTTGTTGTGGGTCACGATTACGTTCATCCAAATGTAGAAAATCTAAGTGGCCCGTCTATTAAAGAGGTTGTGTAACATTGGATTACTCTGCAATTTTGGTCTGTGTTGTTTCTTATAATTGTTTTTATTTCATGGATTTGGAAACCAGAACATGGGCTTGCTATATAGTCTAGGCTTTGGTTTGGCACCATGTGTTTCCATCGTTTTCTAGGCAAGCCCTTGACGTACTATGTCTCTTGGGTAAAGAAAATGAATCATTTTTCAACCAAAGCAAAATGGTCATAAATTCCACATTGCAAAGGGGAAATAGTACAAAATGTCAAGGAAGGCCATAATGCAAAGGGAAAAGGAAGCTCAAGTGCATGATGGGTGCTGACCTGGATACCCCAGATCTAAAATTGACATTGATGTCAACTCAAAACCCTAGAATTTTCAATATTATTGGTACCATGATGAACATGGATTGTACTGGAGAAATAAATAGTCCCGGTTGGAGATTGGTAAACTGGTAAGCAATAAATATATGTATAATGTGTATGCAATATATGTCCTCCCACAAGTCTGTATAATTGGGGTTGCTACTTTGTGTGTTTTGAGGGTATTTTGATGGACTAAGTAGTAATAAATTTGGTCAATACACAACACTGGTCCCCCTCCATTTTGCATGGAAAGGTACAAGAGCAATGGCCATGTTAACGGTAGAGGTGGAGTGTGAGTGTCTAAACTGGAATCTATACAAAATCTTCAAGAATGAAACTGCTTGGTTAAAGAGGGGACCAAAGAGTGCAAGTGTCATTCATGGGTGAAGAAATATATTTAATTTGTTTGTATTTTTAGGAAAGACAAACAATGTACCTCGTGCCAGTGTTATACTCCTTGTTTGTTACTTCTTTGTATTAGGCTTGCTTCCTTGCTTCCGATGCCAAGTTAGTCTACTGATATTAATTTTCATTTCAGGCCAGACCTTGTCGGAACCTTAAAATCAATTCAGTTAGGCTCATGTCATGGGTTCTAATTCATGCTATCCATTTATAGCAATGAGTAATAAGCCCATCCATCTCTACTTCAGGCCCATCAAGTTCTCAGGCTTTGAGATTTTGGCTGTTAAGGATTGTTGGGCTTCACATTCTTTTCACATGTTTGGGAAACTCTTTCCCACAATATAATTATGTTCTCTTACATTATCAAATATAGTTTGCATAATGCAAATTTTTATGTTACAGTTGTTAAAAGAATTACAAACGAAATAGGTGGAGTGTGAGAGCAAGAACAGAAAAAAAAAAAAAAAAACACGTGACTCACTTGGCAAAGTAGTAATGAAAAAAATTCAACAAGTTGTTGTAATTAGATGACTTTCCCTAGAACATGTTGCCACCTTATTTGAAGAAGCAGATGATATCTCCATATTGAGACATATAATGGTAATTAATTGGTTCATATATGGGTTTAATCAAAATATTTTTTCCTTTATGGTTAGTTATGCATAGTTTACTCTGTATTTGTCTCTCCCCTCTACCATGTTCTTTGAAATTTTCTGGTGCTACATTGTTAATTCTACAATAATTCCTTTGTAGTTTGAACTTTTGGTATCGATGTAGAACTTTTTATGTTAAAGTTAAGCTTGAGAATTATTGTTCTTCGAAATGTTGTAGGTGTATTAAAATTAAATAAATGAAAAAAAAATAGTTATAAACTCAACTATAATGAATTTCTTAAAATGATTTATTAATTATTATCGAGTTTACGTTCAACACTTCAACCATTTGAGTTTTATTATGACTAATTTGAATATCTAGTTAGGCAGGTCTTTGGCTATCAAGTTTATGACTAAAAGAAAACTTGTTTTCTTTTGATCCTAGGAAACCAACTTTTGGGATCACTTTACTCAACTCGTTTTGCTTTACCGCTTTACCACACGAGCAAAGACAAAATTGTGGTTCTGTCTTCAAGTGATGCTTGGATGCTTATACCTAAAAGACACATTTATAGTGTAAGTGATGTAAGGTTATTAAGTTGGTTACGACCTAGTATCTCTCTTTAGCAATGATGGATGTTCAACATTTGATGTCATGCAGGCAAGTAAAGCAACATTAATGAGTATATATGAGACACTAAGGGTTGAATTGAAGTTGAATCTGAGGTTGGTGTAACAAATGTTACAATAATTATACACACTTTGCCAATGAGGTCAGTAGGTAGGTGTGTCAATGCGGTCACTAAATAGGGGTGTCAAAATGAGATAATCTCATTCATAGGTTGACTCACTCCAGTTGAACTAAAAATAGGTGAGTTCAATTCGATTTATTTTTTGGCGACATAACTCAGTTCAACCCACTACAAATTAATGGGTTGACTTATTAACCCATATTTATTTGTTTGTTGTTTAGCTTTTTTTTTAATAAATACGGTTGAATTACGAGACTAAAACACAGAGATGCAATGACATGACAAATGTTGTAATACGACTAAAACGTAACAAACGATGTGATGCGATCGAAATACAGGACTAAAACTCAATGATGTGATGACATGACAAACATTGTGACATGACTAAAATGCAGACTAAAAATCGACAAATGTTGTGGTACGACTGAAATACGATAACACGACAAACACAACAAACATGGTGACATAATGGTACGATGGATAGATGGCAAGCGACCCGGGTGCAACGACAAACGTAGTGGTGCATGTAGATAACTGATGATAAGCTTAAGTGAGAGTTTGACTTGTAGCAATGACATGGAGTAGAGGTGGAGAGGTAAGATAATGTCAATTAGGATTAATAGATTATTATAATTATCTTTAAAATTTAAAATGAATGGTGAGTTGCAAGTCAACCCACCATAACCAGGATCGAATTTGTTTAACCAGTGGGTTAAGTGAGCCAAATTCACTTTTTTAACCCATTATCAATAAAAATGAAAAAAAAAATCCAACCTGGCTCAAACTCATGGTGAACTGGGTTGACTCACGAATTACAACTCATATTGACACCTTTATCAGTAAATGAGTGTGTCACATGCTAACGTACCTCTAATATGTGATTAGGATGTACCTCTAATATGTGATTAGGATGATTGTCCTCACTTTAATTCAAGAGTAATAAAGTTAATGTCAGAATTACGTTAGCATATTTATTTAAAGCTTCATAGGTTAGTTGTTTCATTTTTTTGCATCATCGATTTTGGATAAACATGGTGATCTTAACAATAATAGGGTAGGCACTAGTGGGTTATAATAGGTGGAACTAGAAGATAATAACTTGCTTATCATAATTTTAAAGTTTATGAATTATAATTTGTTTACTTGTATTAATTTCTTAATTTTATCGCTGATGTGTTTTCATTGCAAAATTATATGTCCACTCATTTTAATCACTTACAATAGTAGATGGTCACATAACACAGGGTGTACACATCTTTGAATGAATCATTCTATAAACTAACAATTCACTAGCATAAGCGACTGACTAAACAATTTTTATTGTTTTATCCAGAACAATATCAAGAGGTAATGACATGCCTTAGAGATCAATGGTGGTAGATGACATAACTAGATAGAGAGGTGTTGAGATTGATTGGAGTAGATGGAGGTAATGATAGAATAGCTAAAGCTATAATAGATGAAGGTAATGATGGAATAATTAAGGAAAAGGAGCAAAGAGATGATGACTCCAAAATGATTGATGTCAAAGAAAAATGACAAATGAGAATTTAATTTAAATTAGTTTAGTACAGTTGTACAACTTGGTTGAACTTCATATTTAAGGGGTATTGCAAAACAGAGCATGTGTTCTTACACGTTGCAGAAAACCGTTTCAGAGCATGTGTCCTCACACGTTGCAGAAGACTATTTCAGAGAACGTTACAGAAGATTGTTTCAGAGAACGTTACAGACCCACTACCAAGTCTTCCATAATTGTTACAGACTTTCTCTTATAAATAGAGATCACTTCACACTCTTCAGAACACACCTCTCTCATCTTCTCTAATCTTCTTTCTGTGTTCCTGGGTTAATTTACTCTTTTGAGAGTTTCTTGCTAGTTTCTGAGATCCTCGGATATTCCGAGAAGTTCCTATTGTATCATGGGGGATTTGCGCAATACACCACAGATAAGTCTTTAAGGGCAGTGATTATACACGCCTCAGGAATAAAATTTA